TGTTACTTTTTAATATACTTATCCACAGGAAAAGCAATTATTATTTTACATTGTTTCAGTTACTTTTCAATTAGTAAGTAAAAACTATGTGAAAAATACTGATGTTACAGCTATTTAGTTCTTTTTTAAAAATTTTATTTATTTATTTTCTTCGTTGCTGCGCAGAGGCTTTCTCTAGTTGTGGCGACTGGGGGCTACTCTTTGTTGCGGTGCAAGGGCTTTTCATTGTGGTGGCTTCTCTTGTTGCGGAGCATGGGCTCTAGGAGTATGAGCTTCAGCAGTTGTGGCACGAGGGCTCAGCAGTTGTGGCTCACAGGCTCTAGAGCTCAGGCCCAGTAGCTGTGGCACACGGGCTTAGTTGCTCTGCGGCATGTGGGACCAGGGCTCAAACTTGTGTCCCCTGCACTGGCAGGCGGATTCTTAACCACTGTGCCACCAGGGAAGTCCCTATTCAGTTCTATATTAGAATTTTTTCAAATAAAACTGATATTCTATAGTGGAAAAAAAAAAAGAAGCTGGACACAAGAGTTACATATGATTCCATTCACATAAAGTTCTCAAAGGACAACACTAATCTATGATGGGGGGAAAAAACCCACAACAACTGTTGTGGAGTGAACTGACCAGGAAGAAACACAAACTTTCTAGGATGATGAAAATATTCTGTACCTTGATGCCTTGTGGGCTATACAAGTTTATGCAGTTGTCAAAACTCTAAACTATAAACTTAGGATCTCACAGCATTTCAATTTAAACTTTTTCTCAATTAAAAAAAATTTCTTTCACTCAAAAAATATCTGACTGCCTACCACAGCCCAGTTATTGAGAACACAAAGTTAAAATACAGGTTCCAGAAAAGAGACCTCACGGTCCTGCAAGCCAAGAAATGAAAAATAAGTTAGTTACTATAATGAAAATTACACAAAAGAAAGTTTTGAGAAGTGAAAAACAGTAGACTGCCAAACAAAGAATATTACAGGTATATACAACATGTACAGAAGTAACAGAAAAAATCATATTGGACCTGGGCAACTAATGTAATTTCAATGTACTTAAAGTATGAAGCGGGGAGAGGGGCTTGAAGCACTGTACACAGGGGCTGGATAAGATAAGAAGAAACATGATCACAGGCCCTTTCAGCCCAAGCAAAATACATTTCAGCTGTTTAGCAATAAGAAACCTCTGAAAAAGTTTTGGTAGGGGAGTGATAAGTATAAATATCGTTTTGCAAAGATCACTACAGGAACCATCTGAAATACAGACTGGATAAGGGTCAGGCTACAATCAGTCCAATAAGAAAGCTATTGTGGAACTTCCCTTGGTGGTGCAGTGGTTAAGAATCTGCCTGCGAATGCTAGGGGACACGGGTTTGAGCCCTGGTCTGGAAAGATCCCACATGCCACGGAGCAACTAAGCCCATGCGCCACAACTACTGAGCCTGCACTCTAGAGCCCGCGAGCCACAACTACTAAGCCCGAGTGCCTAGAGCTTGTGTTCTGCAACAAGAGAAGCCACCGCAATGAGAAGCTTGCACACCACAATGAAGAGTAGCCCCTGCTCACCGCAACTAGAGAAAGCCCATGTGCAGCAATGAAGACCCAATACAGCCAAAAATAAATAATAAATTTATTTTTTTAAAAAAGCTATTGCAATCAATAGACTACTTTATCCAACAACAGCAAAACACTAATTCTTCTCAATCTCACTTGGAGCATTCACCAAGACAGATGACATTCAGGGCCATAAAACACAACTTCCCAAATGTAAAAGAACAGAAAATCATATAATAAACACTCTCAGACCACAACAGAACTAAACTAGAAATCAGTAACAGAAAAATGGTTGGAAAATCCCCAAATGCTTGGCTATTAAACAACATACTTCCAAATAACACATGAATCAAAGAAGTCTCAGAAGAAATTAAAAGATAAAATGAACTAAATGAAAATAAAAATACAACTTATCAAAATGTGAGGGACACTGAAAGCAGTACTTAGAGAGAAATTTATATCATTGAATGCTATATTAGAATGCCATTTCTATATATCAGAAAAGATCTAAATCAATCACCTAAACTTCCACCACTGAAAACTGGAGGGGCAGATGGCAAATTAAATCCACAGAAGAAATCATAAAACTCAGAGCAGAAATCAATGAAACTGAAAACTGGATATCAAGAGAAAAAATCAAAAGCTAGTTCTCTACAAAATTAGTAAGTCTTTACTGGGGGGAGGTAAAAATGGGGAATTGGTGTTCAGTGGGTATAGAGATTCAGCTTTACAAGATGCAACAGTTGTACAGTAGTTCTAGAGATCTACTGTACAACAATGTGAGTATAGTTAACTGTATGCTGATACTGTATGTAATACCATATGCTTAAAAACTGTTAAGATCCTTTTTAAAAAGAAAGGCAGCAAGCCTCTAGCCAGGCTAAGAAAAAAAGAAGATATAAATTACTGATATCAGAAATGAAAGTGGGGACATCACTACAGACACCATAGACATTAAAAGGATAATAAAGGAATACTATGAACAACTCCATGCCCACAAATTTGATAACCTAGATGAATTGAACCAATTCCTCAGAAGACACAATCTGTCAAAACTCACACAAGAAGAAACAGACAATCTGAATAGGTCTATAGCTATTAAAGAAATTGAATCAGTAATTAATAACCTTCCAAAAAAGAAAGTACCAGGCCCTATGGATTCACTGGTGAATTCCACCAAACATTCAAGGAAGAAATTATACCAATTCTCTACACTCTCCCAGAAGACCAAAGCAGAGGGAATACTCCTAACTCATTCTATGAGGCCAGGATTACTCTAATATCCAAACCAGACAAAGATATCGCACAAAAAGAAAATCAGACCAATCTATCTCATGAACATAGATGCAAAAATCCTCAACAGCTATTAGTAATCTGAATCAAACAATGTGTAAAAAGAATTATAAGCCACAACAAAGTGGAATTTCTTCCAGGTATGCAAGGCTGATTCAACATTTAAAAATTAATTAATGCAATCCATCACCATCAACAGGCTGAAAAAGGAAAAGGCTATCGCAATGGACTAGGTAAAAGTTCGTGAGCACATGTATTAGAACACAACTGTAAGTAGTTATCCATTCACTCACACCATGTGCCAACACCTGGGACATAATAGAAAATAAGACAAAATTCATGCTGTCATACATAGATAGAGCCTACAATCTATCAGAGAGACAGACAGTGAACAAGTCCCTATTGCAGGAACTACACCTAGACCAGAGAGAAGTGGCAAGCTGACGATGATGAAGTTTTTTTGTTGTTTTTTTTTTTTCCATACGTGGACCTCTCACTGTTGTGGCCTCTCCCATGGCGGAGCACAGGCTTTGGACGCGCAGGCTCAGCGGCCACGGCTCACGGGCCCAGCCGCTCTGCGGCATGTGGGATCTTCCCAGACCGGGGCACGAACCCGTGTTCCCTGCATCGGCAGGCGGACTCTCAACCACTGCACCACCAGGGAAGCCCGATGATGAAGTTTTAACTAGGTTAAAAAACAGGGAGGGGCTATGACTGAGGGGAATATTACAAGTAGGATATACAAAGGTCCTAAAGCAAAAGAAAAAGCACAGTATATCAGAAGTACTGAAAGGATCCAGGTTTAATATCACATAAACAATTGAAGAGGATTACATTACAGTTGTAGTTTTGCTGGTCATCAAGTAAAAATAAAGATACAAGAAGGCAAAGAAAAACACTCAGCCTCCTTACCTTCGTAAGCCTCCCACACTCCCCGCTAGCATCAGCACCATGCTCAGGAAGGCCCTGCTCCTCTCTGCCTGGTTTGCCCTGGCTGTGACTTACCCCACACTACTCCCAGGATTCATCACTGACCTACAGTCAGTCAACCACTGTCCTACTACACTTGACCAGTGACCAAGATACAGAAACAACCATTGACTTGTATTTGGAGAACACACAGACTTTCGCATTACCTACTAATGTAGAATTAAACACCTTCAGCTCTGAGGAAGAAGTCACTAAGGCCAGAGTTGATAACGAGTCACTTCACACAGAAAACTTATGGAGTAAAGATTATGAAGATGTCACTGCTGGTTATTCCAAAGAGCCCGTGACTGAAGCACCAGATGAGCCCAGCATCTTCATGGGAAGCAACGAGCCCAGCTCACTGTTTTTGTTTTTTTGTTAGAAAATGAAGCAGTTCTCATTAGCTGTGACCATCGCTCTGCTAACTACAACTTTCTAAAAGGATTCTGAGCCTCTGAACAAGCCTACCATTCCATTATAGGTGCTTGAATAATTGCAAAGACTGAGACATAGCATGTACCCACTTGAGCAAAGAGTGGCAGAAATTGTACACAGAAAGAAAAGGGACATCTCGTAATCTCTTCATCATGTCCCGTTTAATGTGGGCCCAATAAATGTTCGTTTGAATTGAAAAAAAAAAGTTATGGGTGCCTACAAAGGAGTACCTTAGGTGATGACCTATGACATCCAGGGTAAACAGACTGAAGAGCTGATATCCTTTTTACAGATAATGAAAAAAATAAAGATGGCAGGAACTGCCAAGAGTTACAGAATTTGAAGGAAAAACTCTCAAGTGTACAATCTTTTTCTAGCTGTGCTCCAGATTCAATCCTTCTACTCTTTAAGGAGAAATCCAGAAGTTGAAACAAAGTATCTTTTAAAATTAAGCACTTAAAATTTAATACACACACAAAAAAATTCAATACACAGTAACCCTGATAAATAGATAAATAAATGTTATCCAGAAAAGATAAGTTTCTGAAATGTATGTAATATCAAACTTAATTTTGCCTTTTCAACTATGATTTTTATCAATATTTAGTATATCTATTTAATAATGGCCATTTGAACTATTTATATTCAGCCTTTAAACACTTTCTGAAATTTCTTCAATGACTTGTATCACTTAATACAAAATTAATTATATTTCTAACTGTAAGTTTAGTATCTTATAAAGGAATTACTTACAGGGACATTAAGTGCATACTGTAGTCCTTGAGGAAGTCTTTCATGTGTCTCCATCTGCTCTTCATCATTTTTCACTGTCTCCTCATGGACCATGAGTTCATCATGTGATATCATATCCTGCTGTCTCATTTCACTTTCTTGTAACACTTCATCTGCAGCAAGGATCTCCTGGTGAGGCATACTCCGATCTTGAAGAACTGACTCCTGCAGCTCTCCAGACACAGTAGACTGGCCAGACACTCCACCCATTACAACCATTGCCCTGGAAGACTGCATTTCGTCTATGCCGCCACATTTAAGAAATAATCCTTCCAGTTTGTCGTCAATGTTCATGCTTAAGTATAAATGCCTAGAAAGACCAAGTTTGGCAACAAAGCATAATAAATTAGTTTTATATGTCTACCTGAATGTTTTAAATTTCAAATTATGAAAGGTACACACTTTAATAAAAATGTTTTATTCATATAATTCAATATTGCCTCCAATTTAAAAATTACCACGATAAATTTCCAAAGGCTGGTAGAGTAAAACACAAATTTTTGTTTTTGACATTAAGACACAAAATCCTAATCTATTTCATTATGAAAAATGAGCATGACATAAAGCAAATTGGGGGAAAGTATTTGTAACACCAGAAAGATCCACATCCTTTAATATACTAAAATATCTTAAAAATAAAAAGAAATAACATTAAGAAATAAACTGAGAGAACAGTATCAGGCAAATCATAAAGAAAAATTAGAAATAGTCACTAAATATATAAAATAATATTCACTTACAGTAGTAATTAAAGAAATGAACATTAAAACCATATTTTATCCACCAAACTGATAATAATTCTTAAAAAATACACCTCGGGCTTCCCTGGTGGCGCAGTGGTTGAGAGTCCACCTGCCGATGCAGGGGACACGGGTTCATGCCCCGGACTGGGAGGATCCCACATGCCGCGGAGCGGCTGGGCCCATGAGCCATGGCCGCTGAGCCTGCGCGTCCTGAGCCTGTGCTCCGCAGCAGGAGAGGCCACAGCAGTGAGAGGCCCGCGTACCACAAAAAAAAAAAAAATACACCTGATGTTGAGGTGGCAGGGGGAAAAAAAAAAGACACTCATCTACTGACAGTGGGAGTATATTAGTTCAACTGTTTTCAAAGGTAATTTGGTACCATGTATCAAAAGCCATAAAAATGCACATATTCTTTGAACTGGTGACTTTACTTTTAGGAACCTATCCTGATGAAATCAGAAGTACATATAAAGATATGCATGGAAAATCACTATAGCAGTACTTCAATAGTGAAAAACTGGAATTACACTGAGTATTCAACAAAATGAAACTGGTTAAATTATATTCATACATATGTTTTAAAACTAGACTACAGTAAATTTACTAAAAATCATTGAATCGTACACTTAGGATGGGTGAATTTTATTGTATATAAATTATACCTCAATGTTTTTCTTAAAAACAGAATCAGAAAACTGGCTATCCTTGGGTGAAGAGGCTGTTGATAGGAGGTAGGAAAAGGCGCCTGGTCTGGAAACTGACAATGTTTTTCCTGAGTTGAATGCTGATTGCACAGGTGTGCTCACTTTGTAAAATTTTAAGATGTATATCTCTGTGATATGCATACATTTCTGCCAGAATAAATAAATTCAAATTTACTGAATTTATGCTTCAGTAAAAAGTTAAAGTCTGTTGGAATTCAAAAAATATCCATACAGTCAAAAAATATTCTTGAAAAATATTTGAAAATTTGGGGAAAAAGCCTGATATTAAGGGAAATGTGTGTATAAATATGTGTTTGTACACAGATTTATTGAAAATGCTAACAATATTAATATTACCACTGGGTGGTGAAATTACCAGGCTTTTTTCATATTTACATTTATCTCTAATTTGAAAACTTTCTATAATAAAATTTTATTCTTTCAAATGCTTTTAAATTTGTTAAAATGGAAAAAGTAGTATTTTCATTACTAATATATTCTTAAATAGTTGCACATGATTAAATAAATTTAAGAGGTCATGATAAGAACTAGACACTATTAAATAATTACATTATCTTATTTTTTCCATTATTATAGAAAAAACAGGCAATATTAAATCTTCTAACTTTCATTGCTGTAAATTCGCACTCCATTGTGTTACTTGAGGAACTAGCATAACAATAATCATGAAATCCAAAGAAACTTCATCTCAAAGAATGTCAGAACATTGGTACTGTTTGTTTTTTATCAGATTGTGCAAAATAAACACACACACTCCCCCAACATGATGGGCCCACGATTAATAAATGCATTAACTATGTTTCAGTTTAGTCACCTCTTTCCCAAATCAATCAGGTAGTAATGGTTACTACTTTGATCATAGCTTTCAGAGGTAAAATAAATGATCAGTTAAATTCAAATACACTACTGAAATTTAAATACTCTTTCATTTACTAAGGTTATCATCTAGGGAGAAAACTTTACTTAAATGTACAGCTCAAAAAACAGCTCATATAAACAGCAAAGTAAATAAAAATATAATTCATACTTGTTAACTTTGTCTTCCCTGGTACCAGGCAGTATGGTTAAGTCCAGAATACATATGGGACAAAGGAACAAGAATCTAATTTCTCTTTCCAAAATCTTTAAGTAGTCTAAAGGACAAACATTTAAAACATATCACCAAATAACTGTCCTCTTCAAATATTCTATTTATCACATTTCTAGAGAATAAACTATCCCACAACTAAGTGAAATTTAAGTCTCTTAGGGTTAAAATTTGCTTATTTCTTTGGAAATCCTTACCAAATCAATTATATTCTTCTAATCTGTTTATTGTTTTCCTAAAGGATTTGGGAAGCCCCCAACTTAAAAGGGACGTATATATACACAAAGCCACTCTTTATTGCTGTGACATCTGCTATTGCCACATACATCATTATTTAAAAAAAAAAAAAAAACCCACACCCTTGGGAGCTTTTAAAGAATACGGGAGAAGTAGTTATTAAAAGAAGACATTAATAAAAAACATTAGACAAACTGACCTAGGACAGAACTTTTTTAAAAAAATTAGCTGAAGTTGAAACTGGCTTACTAACCCAATGCAAGGTCTATATTTCCCTTAAGTAGTGGTCCTCATCTCCAATGTTTTTTGTCATGCACCTCATCAATTTTTTAAAATTTATCATATCCTAATACATGTATACTATTTAAAACTATACCTATAATACTGTGTTAATATGTAATATGCCTATTAAAATAAACATAAAAACATAATTTTTTTAAACTAACCTTATCCCTAACATCAGGCTGAAACAGTAAGTACTGAGGAAGTCAAAGTACTTTGGAGAGAGAGAATATCTGGGGGGAAAAAGGCAGGTTTGCAAAAAAGTGCCAGAATGAGACATTTGGAACAGGAAGATACCACACCTCAATATACAGGTAGTAAATAAAACAGGAAGTGGAAATACTGTTAATGAAGGTAAACTTGACCTCCTCAAAAATTTTCTCGAAAACAGGCCATATATACAGAAAAAGGAATCGCTCTTTGTTACATATGGTTTCTTATTCCTATGACCCCAAATTAAGCCATATATTTCAAATTACTGGCTAGCCTAAAAACTGTTCTTGAGACAATTTCCCTTAAATACCAGAAAATACAAAGATTTCAACACAGATTTCAATATCAATGAACTCTGCTTTGACAAGGTTTTAAAGTCAGTTTTGGAAAATCTGCCAGAATGAAAACTGTATGTACCACTGAGCCAGCAACCTCACTGCCAGGAGTATATACAATCCTATGTATGTGCTTAGTCATAAAAATTAACCAAAGATGTATGTACAAGGATGTCTGGTGTGACCTTTTAATGGAAAAAGACTGGAAACAACCTAAGCATCCAATAATAGAAGACTTGTTAAATTAATTATGATTCAACCATACACTGGAATACACACAGCCATTAAAGTGAATGAGGTAGTTATATGTGCTGGGTAAAAAGTTTTCCAAGATATATTAAGTGGGAAAAAAAAAATCAAGAAGAAGATACATAGACAAATAAGTGAGCCCCACTTGTATCACACACCTCAACCAGCGTCTGGGCAGAGTAAGCTGGACAGGAAATAAACAAGGCTCTCAAACAAAAAAAGTTAATTTCACTAAGCCCATGGTAAATGGGAAAAGGACAAAGCTACCCTAAGAAAAATGATAAAGAAAAATATGTTTTTTATTGTCCTTGAAGCTCTCTTATATGCACTTACTATCTTTAACTTTCCCCCTTGTAACTCCTACATGATCTATGTCAAAGCTCTTATGTGCTTCTCTGCACATTCAAAAACCCAAATACAGCAAAAGGTCCCATGCTCAAAAGTTGACACAGGCTACTTTCCTTCTCTAATTTCAATATTTTCAGGAAGGATCAGCTGAGTGTAAAGAAAGGAAACTGATGTTATCAATCTGCACTAACATGTGAATATTTAAATGTCTCTTCCTGCTAAACCTTCAAAAAGCCAACTGTTTTTTGACCCAAATGTCTATACAATTAATGGAAATTCAGGTGTCAAGAATATTACACAGGAGAGAGAAACAAAGAAAGAATGCTTAAGTCATGTCACTTACATGAAAGGCTGCTCTGGAAGAAAAAACAAAATAAACAACTAATCTGCATTCCCAGGAGCCTCTGTCAAATGGGGAAAAAGAAGGACTAGGTGGAGTAATAAGCAATAAGCCGCCCTGAGCTCCTTGTAAATGACCCATTATTCTGCAACTGAAGGAAGCTTGGGCAGCTGACAAAGAATATAAAACCGCAGAGCTGTTATGATCCAAGACAGGGTGGACAATGATGTTCTAGAACTAATTCAGCTAAAGGTAAGATGGCACTCCTTCTGGAGTTACCCAGAACAGAGATTGCTAAAAACTAGAACTTAGTAAGAGAGGGAGGGAAGGAAGGGGCCCACTTCAGGCCAATTTCTCTGAAAGCCCCCTTTAGCAGATTACTTCAAATGCTGCATTCTTTTCCCCCTTCCAAGTTCTGTTCTTCCCTCATCTCCATCCCTCTGCCAGAGAAGCTAGAAGGTATAGTAAAAGGAATATTGAGGGGACCACATTCAGCTTTCTGCTCCATTCAATTCTCCCTCTCCCACACACACCCCCACCATCCTTTCCTACTGAAAAATGTTTGGTTCAGCTGTGTAAAAGTAATCCAAATTGCAGCCGATTAAGAAATCCCTAGTCATTTAAGCCTAATGGCAATGCGGTACTTAAAGAGAATATAAATTATCAGCCATCACTTTCTCCTGCCTTCCAGAAAAGACAGTTGACTCTTCTTGTTGGACATTCTAATTTAATGCTTCTATTCAACTGTGTGCAAGCAATTAGAAACTATGCTTTATAGATCTGTATAAGTTGAAATAGAGTAAATAAGCTTTGAGTCAGGGCTTTTTCATATTTTCAGAGGACAAAGTTAACAGAAGCATAATATATGAACAAGTTGGGCATTACTACTCATTTTTTAAATTTTTTTCGGTACGCGGGCCTCTCACTGTTGTGGCCTCTCCCGTTGCGGAGCACAGGCTCCGGATGCGCAGGCTCAGCGGCCATGGCTCAACGGGCCCAGCCGCTCTGCGGCATGTGGGATCCTCCCGGACCGCGGCACGAACCCGTGTCCCCTGCGTCGGCAGGCGGACTCTCAACCACTGCACCACCAGGGAAGCCCTACTACTCATTTTTAATCAACTATACAATGCTTACTGCGCTTTTTTATGGGAATTCTATAAATTATGGGAATTCAACTTAAAAATGCTTACTGAGTTTTTTATGGGAATTCTATGCAATTAATAAGGAAAATTTCTTTCCAAATTTATTAATAGGTTTGAGTCTATATTATAAAATTCAGAGATTATCATAACCTGGAGAAGAAAGACAACTAACATGTGTTGAGGATCTACCAGGTATAAGACATTATGCTGGGCACACTGATATGTTACTTCACTTAATATTTACAGTAACACTCAAAACAGTAATAGTATATCCCCATTTAACAGACGAAGAAACTGGAGTTTACCCAAAGTCACAAAGCTAGCATGTAAACTGGGATTTGAAAACAGACTTACCTCGTTTAATGCACTTTTTACCATACTGTACTACCTCTGTCTTGAAAAGGCCCTGGACACTAAGAACTCGTTGAACTCATTCTCTTCTCACCCACCCACTCTGAAGCCACCCTGTCATCACTGCTCGGCTTGGTAAAGCAATCCTTAGTTGGCTACCATCGCATGGCTACCATGGGAGAATTCTGTGTGACACAGAATCCCTTTTCTCCTTCAGCATGCATAGACACCTTCCACAATTCCTAAATTCCACTTCTACCTATTATTCACAGCTCAGTAAATTTCTCCTCGTTCTTTTTTCATGGGTTCACATATACCCCCTTAATCCTTCCATTCTTTCTTCAAACCTTTACCAAGTTACTTTAGGAAAATCTCTCTTTCTTTTTCCTTTACTTTCCCATTTTCACTTGGAAATCAAAAAAATAATCCTAAATACGGCTGATAAATGTAGGAGCTATGCTAAAGATATACCTGTATCAAAGAAAAGAGGGCTGTAAGTTTTAAAGTGAAAACAGATTTGAAGGCTTGTGCCATAATCCTCTAATATTCTTGAAAGCACCTACTTTCCCCTTCAGAATGTACATGAATATTGATCTGCCACTTTATCACCTTTAATTGAATCTGCATTCAAGTGTGAAAAAATATATCTCACTTAAAGATACTGCTTTTCTGTTTTATTTACTGAGTTTGGCTGTAATATTATTTTCCATCAACATTTATTGAATAATGTAAAACTTCAACTAAATGAGTCAAAACAGATTATAGTTGGCAAGCTTAGGAACCTAAACATCATTCTTTTCTATAAAAAGAGTAATTTCCAACTCAAAGTCTTCTCCCAAATCAATACCCTGCCTTGTATCAGAACCCATTCAACCTATAAAGAAACTTCACTCACAGGCTAAAGAGAAGTACTCAAAGGAACCTGAAACAGATTTTAAAAAAAAAAAAAAGCTAGATTTCACAAATTACTTCTGATTCAAAGTATTTTCAACAAACTCCTTGCTGTCTGGAGGATGCCAGTTACATTAATTTGGATATTAATATTTCTAACCTATGTAGTCAGTGAGAAATTACACCTTACAAATATCAGCATTAGAAACACAAGTATCAATCAGCCTCAAGATCAAATTGGTATTACAAAGAAACCCATGATCAAAATGGATTTAACAATCTGCCATTTGTCATTCCTCAGAAGTTTTCTATTCCCTCTCATCCTTCAAAAGTATAGTTTTGATCTAAGCAAAAACTGCTTCATTTCTAATTTAGAAACAAAATCTAGCTCTTATCTAGGGATACTCTACACTCAGAAACCCCTTCAGATACACCTTTGTATAACTACCATTTTGCATCTATAAAGCATATTTTGTAAACTATGCCCTTTGACTTTTAATTGTTACTATTCAAAACATCCTAATAGGAGCATCATTTACAATAATGGCAACTAGACAAAAAGGCCTCTTTTATTAGTGCTAGCAACAATAAAAGATGTTTAATAAGAGAATTTACAGACTAAAATAAATCACTTTACACAATATGACAACTAAATAAAAACCTGTGATCGTTTTTTAACCACAGAAAAATAATTTATAAATATTTAAGCCAAAGTTAACAGGCATCTCTATATGCCCAATGCCCCGCTCAAATAAAGCAGAATCTAAGCATATTCTCCATTCCAAATACTCATCACCAGTCTTCTAAAACAATGTAACAACAAGAAATTAGTGGTATTTAGAAATGGTAAGACATCAAATTTATGGCAACTGTTTGTTGAGAAACAGCTATATTTTATCTTTAAAAGGAGAGGGAAAGGGAAAAGGTAAAAAAGATCCAAGCAAAACAGAACCCTACATTCTGCTGGATCTAGTTGTTTCATCCATCTCATTTTATGCCAATAGCAACAATTCAAACATTCGTATTAAAAATACTTACTCTATTAGGAAACTATAAATTTTCTACAGTTTTGTAAATTAAAAGAAACATTAAAAATACTTCTTAAACTTCCCTACACACTAAGCTATTTTTAATATGTACTATGTAATAACCAAGACTCATTTCAAAACAGAAAAGTGTTAACTATTTAAATCAAAATTTTAATTTTTAAACATTGGATAAATGCTCTCACTTCACAATACAAACCCTATTTGTGAAGTACAATAAAACTAAAAATGCATTCATCGCCTTCAATGCCAAAAACACCAAAAATGTCTTATAACCATTTTCTAATAAAGTTAAACCAATAGGCCTAATATAAATACTCGATACAAGTATACAAAATTTACCAAAACTAACTGTTATCTCAAGTCTCAAAAAAAAAAGGTACCTAGGTTAATATATGTTGATATTGACATAAAATATGATGGAAAACTGACAACTAATTTCCAACCCTTTAATAAATTCTCTAATAGAAACATACAATATTTGATACTTGTTTCAAAATACAGTATTTACAACAGACCAAGAACCATATAATGTAATTACAATGAAATATTTTTCATCTACAAAAATATAAGGTATATAATGTCTTTGGGAATAAGTTGTTCTGATGAGATCTAAACATTTAGAATAATAGATTTTTTAGAGTTAGAAGGAACCAGTTACACATCATTTAGCTTTATGTGTAGCTAAAAAGATCCTCTCACCCAAGCCCCTCCTCCTTGCCTTAAGACTCTAAAATGTTAAACAAACCATTTCAACCTAATGGCAGTGAAACAAAATGAGGAATTATCTCAAAAGTCACTTTTAACTTTTAAGACCTTATTCCACCTTATGACATCAAGACAGCAGTATTTAATCAAAGAACCATGATGACTATTCACAAAACTAAAATTGTCTCAGAACTCAAAACAATTTCCAAAGCACTGTCACAGGCCAAGAGTTAATATGTCTTAATATTTAAAACTTATATTTTAATGTTAGTCCAACTAGATAAATGGAAAGTAAATCTGACAAACCCTAATGTGACAGACAACTAGCTATCCCCCCAGATTCTGTTCTCTCCTTCTTGCCCAATAATAAAATATTAAGTAAGACACACAATGACCTAGGTAAGACTCATTTTCCAGCCTCCCATGCAGTTGGTTGTGGTCATGTAACAGTTAAAGCCAATGGGACATAAGCAGAAATGATATACACAACTCTCCTAAAAGGAAAAGAAATGTTCTTCCTTTTCCCTCTTTCTGTTGGCAGACATGATGGTAACCCTCTTGGACCACAAGATAGAATAACTAATACTTAATATAAATGATTATTAAAATTATCTACATGACTGCTTCCTTATATTAGCATAGGAAAACATACAATATGTACAAAGGTACAGTAACATATGCTTTTTCACATTTAAAAAATTATATGCCAAACACCATTAAATTTGATTAATAGGTCTAATTTTCCCACATATGAAAATAGTTTCCCTGGAAATCCTGGAAAATTTAATGTGGGTATGTGTGCGTTTATGACAGGTGAGTGAAAAATGCAATAAACCCTGCTGAAGAAAAGGGTTAAAGAAGGAAAAACCTTCCCACTTAAATTTCACCTAAGATTACATAATAAGCTACACATATTTTCTTGGGCTAAACTTAAAACCCAAAGCTATATCATTACTCATCAATTTTCTCTTAACACTGTTTTCTCAAGAAAAAAATATTAAATCCCAAGTTTCTTCCAGATATAAATACTACAACATAAAGAAACTATTATACAAACTTAACATGAAATTCTAGCAGCCAAAAAAAAGGTTTCATATTTGAAAATTTTACTTATTCATGATTATGAAAAATAAGTACTGAAGTTACCTGAGACTAACGTAAAAATGAAGACTTCAAGGAAGGGAATGCTGTAGAGTTGAAAAAGAAATCATGGTTGAGTTTCTACCTTTCATAGGCTTCAGAGACCCTCAATACCACTTCAATCATTTATGCCATCCAATTCCTACAAAAAAAATAAAAATAAAACACAACAAACAAAACACATTACTTACTGAGACAAAAATACTGTACAAATATAACATGGACAAACTGGTATGCATAATGAAGTGAGCACTCTTTGTAAACAGTAAGCTATGCCTGAATAACCAGTGCAATGACTTCTTTTTAAATCTGAAACTGGGAAAATACGATAGTGATAAGTAATAACTGTGAAATAACCCTGGCCTTGTAAAGAATAATTTGCCTAGATCTGGAGTGTACAACTTCAGAGACATGGGATATTGAAGGAAATTCAGAAGGTTATAGACCTACACGTTTACAAAAGAGAAATCAGTGATTAAAAACTCACTTAATAACACTATTTTTATCTGCTTTGCAAAGGCTATGAAGTGAAGAGAGAAGCAAACACAATTCTAGGCCTTAAAAATAACAAACAGAACTAGTCCTGTACAGAATGTACATGTATTCACAGTAGGAAGGATTACAGTTGTAAAATCATACTAAATACCTACAGAAATATGATCACCAAGGTCATCTTTGACTAGAAAAGCTGACAAAAATGGGAATAATCATAGGGAGACTATGTTCCATACCCCAAAAAATTAAAATGAAAAACATAAGCTATACACAAGAAGAAAATTTCCTGTCAGTGAGTATTTCTGAACCCAGTAACAGACTAAAGAGTTTATGGAGTTTCCTACCATAGAGGTTTTTAAAAATACTACATTCCTACCTATTAAGAATAATTTGTATTTACTCCTCCACAGAAAGCTTGGAGACCAGATGATATGACACACCTTACGATTTTATATCAGTTTTTACAGTGGTGCAAAGGCAATAAGAATAGTCTTTCTCACCTAAAACATACCAGTAATAAGTCCATCTTTGTACTTCAGAAAGTATAATACATTCACTTTTTAAAACATTTCAACACTGTATCCATATTTTTTTAAAGTTTAAATTCTGATGGAACTATTTACCCCTCAGTATCCTTTCATTTCAGAATTTTCCTGCATATTCACACATGTCTACTTTTGCAGATGAACTCTTGCTCAAAAAAAAATTTTTTTTCACTAGGATTGTATCATATATAAATAAATAGCAAAATGACAACAGTAACAATAACCTGGGCAGGCAGGGAGGGAGTCACAATCTGAAATTACTCCAATATGTTATCTAAAATGCCCAGTTTTCAACAACAAATTATAAGGTGTACCAAAAAAAAGAAAGAAAGAAAGAAAAGAAAAATGTGACCCACATTAATGAAAAATAGCAATCACAACAAACAGTTTCTGAGCATCCCCAGATGTTGGTTTAAGCAAAGATTTCAAAACATCTATTATAGACATGTTAAAAAAGAACCCATCTTTAACTTTTTTTAATTATGAAAACAATCAACAGATAAGAAATTCTCAATAAGGGTACAGAATTTATGTAAAAGAACCACATGGAAATTCTGAAGTTGAAAAGTATAATAACTAAAACAAAAAATCTACTACAGGATTCAAGATGGCAGAAGAAAATAGATGACCTTGAAGATATATCAGTAGAAACTATCCAATCTGAAGAACAGTGAGGGAAAAAAATTGAAGAAAACTGAACAGAGCCTCAGAGAACAACTTATCAACATTTCTGGAGTTCCAGAGGAGAGAAAGGGCAGGGAAAATAATTTTTTTTAATAAAACACCACCAGAAAATTTTCCAAATTTGATTTTTTAGAAGAAATCAAATCTATGAGTCTTAGAAGTTCAATGAATCTCATGGAGAATAAAGAGACACACCTAGACACATCATAGCCAAACTGTTAAACACAAGGAGAAAATCATGCAAGCATAAAGAGAAAAATTACTCAGCATGTGCAGGGAACCACAATACGATTAACAGCTGACTTTCAATCAGAAACAACAGAGGCCAGAAGACAGTAGGATCACATTCTCAAAGTGCTGAAAGAAAAAACCTGTCAATCAAGAAGGCAACAAAACTACCCTTCAAAAATGAAGGCATAATAAACATAGTCTCAGATGAACAAAGACTGAGAGAATTTTTTGCAGACCTGTCATACAAGAAATACTAAGGGAAGTCCATCAAGTTGAAAGGAAATGACACCAGACTTAAATACACAGGAAGAAAAGAACACCAGGAATGGTAAATATGTGGGTTAAACTAAAAAAACTCTATAAAATACATTTTTTTCATTTCTTCTCTTAACATCTTTAAAAAATATAAGAATCTATAAAGCAATGGTTATAACACTGTATTGCTGGGTTTGTAGCATATATGAATGTTTTATTTATTTATTTATTCATTCATTCATTCATTCATTCATTTATTTATAAGTTGTGGCACAATAGAGGAAGGAGAAAATGGAGCTATACTGGAGCAAAGTTCCTGATACTGACTTAGTGTTAATATTAAGCAAACTGTTAAAATGTATAATGTAAACACCATAGCAATCACAAAGAAAAGATCTTAAATTATATTTAGAAAAGACATCAATAGAGTAATTAATATGGCACACTAAAAAACATTTAACACAAAAGAAGGCAGCAAAGGAAGCACAGAGAAACAAAAACCATAAGAGACATATATAAAACAAATGGCAAAATGGCAAATGTAAATCCAACCATGTCCATAATTAAATATGAATGTCTAAACAGCCCAATAGAAAGGCAGAGACTGCCAGGTTGGACAAAAACAAGATTCAACTATGTGCTGTCAACAAGAGACACACTTTAGGGCTTCCCTGGTGGCGCAGTGGTTGAGAGTCCGCCTGATGATGCAGGGGACGTGGGTTCGTGCCCCGGTCTGGGAAGATCCCACATGCCGCGGAGCTGCTGGGCCCATGAGCCATGGCCGCTGAGCCTGTGCATCCGGAGCCTGTGCTCCGCAACGGGAGAGGCCACAACAGTGAGAGGCCCGCGTACCGCAAAAAAAACAAAAACAAAAAGGGGACACACTTTAAATTCAAGACAAAGTAAAAAGATGCGGAACAAGGATATATATACTATGGAAAGAGTAACCATAAAACAGATGGCACGGTTATATTAGTATTAGACAAAACAGACTTTAAGACAAATATTACTGGAGATGAAGAAAGATATTTCAAAATGACAGTCAATAAATTAGGAAAATATTATAATAATTATAAATCCTAAAATAATGAAGAGCCCTAAAAAATAAAACAATAACTAACATTATTAAAAAGAAAAATAGAAAATTCAACAATTAGCATTGGAGATTTCAATACCCCACTCTAAATAATTGACAGAATAACTATACAGCAAATTAACAAACAAATAGAAAACCTGAACCACACTCTCAACCAACTATACCTAGCTGGCATATAGAAAACTCCAGCAAACAACAGAATACATATTGTTGTCAGGTACACACTCTCCAGCACAGACCAAATGCTAGGCCATTAAACAAGTCTCATAAATGTAAAAGGACTGAAGTCATACAAAGTATGTTCTCCAACCATAACACAATTAAAGTAGATATCAACTAAGTTAGAAACTGGAAAATTCTCAAGTGTTTGGAAATGAAACTTCACAATTTTGAATAACATATGGGTCAAAAAAGAAATTAAAAGAAAGGAGATGTTAGAGAATATTTTTAACTGAATGAAAACAAAAACAAACACATCAAAATCAATGGGATGCAGCTCGAGCAGTACTTAAGAGGAATTATATAACTTTAAGTATAATGAAAAAAAGAGGAGTCTCAAATCAATGACATGAGCCTCCACTTTAATAAATCAGAAAAGGAGTAAACTAGGGGACTTCCCTGGTGGTCCAGTGGTAAAGAATCCACCTTCCAATATAGGGGACGTGGGTTCAATCCCTGGTCAGGGGAACTAGGTTCCCACATGCTGCAGGGCAGCTAAGCCCGTGTGCAACAACTACTGAGCTCGCACACCTCAACTGGAAAGCCCGCATGCAGCAAACTACAAAGCCCACACACTCTGGAGCCCACACGCCACAACTACAGAGCTCACATGTCCTGGAGCCTGCGTGCCACAACTAGAGAAGAGAAAAAACCTGCACACCACAACTAGAGAGAAGCCCGCGCACCACAAGGAAAGATCCCGCACGCCTCAACGAAGATCCCACACGCCTCAACAAAGATCCCACATGCTGCAACTAAGACTCAACGCGGCCATAAATAATTAATCAATTAATTAAAATATTTTTAAAAAGAAAAAGAGCAAACTAAACCCTAAAGCAAGCTGAAAAATATACTGAAAATTTAGAGCAAAAATAAATAAAATACAAAACAGGAAGATAGAGAATAACTTGTTTTTTTAAAAAAGATCCGAAAAATTTACAAACTTTTAGGAAGACTAACCAACAACAAAGAGAAAAAACACAAATTACCAAAATTAGGAATGAAAGAAGGGATATTACCACTGACCTCACAAAAATTAAAAGAATTATACGGGAAGGAATATATTATAAACAGATATATGCCAATAAATTAAACAACTTTTATGAAATTCCTAAAAAGACATATATTACTGACATATAAACTAATTAAAGAGGAAACAGAAAACTCTGAACATAACAAACTGAGTTAGTATTTAAAATCTTCCCACAAAGAAATGGCCTCACTGATGAATTCCATCAAATATTTAAGCGGGCAATACCAATCCTTCACAAACTCCTACACAAAACAGAGGAAGAGGGTACATTTTGCAACTCAATCTATAAAGCTAGAGTTTCTTTGATATAAAGACATGACATGAAAACTATACTCCAATGTCTCTCATAAACATAGATACAATATCCTTACAAAATGTTAGTAAACTGAATCTAGCAACAGATAAAAAAAAGGCATATATATACACCAAGACCAAGTAATATTTACCCCATGAAGGCAATGGTGGTTTAACATCTGAAAATCAATTAATGTAATACACCATATTAAGAGACTAAAGGACACAAACCACATGGTTATCTCAATAAACAAAGAAGAATTTGAAAAAATTCAACACTTACTCATGATAAAAAAATCTCAACAAACTAAGACTAGAAGAGAACTTCCTCAAACTGATAAAAGGTATCTACAAAAAAAAAAAAAAAACTAAAAACTAACATCATGCTTACTGGTTAAACACTGAATGCTTTCCTCCTAAAAATCAGGATGTCCATTTTCACCACTTCTATTCAAGATTGTACTAAAGGTTCTAGCTAGTAAAATAGAGCAGGCAAAATCAATCAACCAACCAACCAACCAAGCAATCAATCGATCAAGTAATGGCATCCAGATTAGAAAAAACGAAATAAAACTGTCTTCACTCTCTAGCAATGTGATCTTGTATGTAGAAATTTCCCAATGAATCCACAAAAAAGCTACGAGAACAAATAAACAAGTTCAGCAAGGCCACCGCCACTGAGAACTGATAAGTTCAGCAAGGGCACAAGATATTAGATCAATAAAGAAAAATCAATTATATTTCTATAGTGAAATGACAGCTTTATATCACATCTTCCGTGTTACAAATTTGAGCTGAGGGCTTCCCTAGTGGCACAGTGGTTAAGAATCCACCTGCCAATACAGGGGACACGGGTTCGAGCCCTGGTCCGGAAGATCCCACGTGCCATAGAGCAACTAAGCCTGTGTGACACAACTATTGAGCTTGCGCTCTAGAGCCCGCGAGCCACAATTACTGAAGCCTGTGCACCTAGAGCCCATGCTCCACAAGAGAAGCCACCGCAATGAGAAGCCCGCGCACCACAAAGAAGAGTAGCCCCCACTCACCGCAACTAGAGAATGCCCGTGTGCAGCAACAAAGACCCAATGCGGCCAAAAATAAATAAATAAAATAGATACATCATTAAAGAAATTAAAAATGTTTTAAAAAAAAATCTGAATTGATCCAAATTTTCTGTCCTATCCCTCAGTAGAGTTTTAAAAATTTTTTCAAGTAGATTTCTCCCAGGTATTTTATCTTTTTAGTTGTTACTGTGAATGTATACATCTTCTTCCTTTATTAGCCCTAATTCTACTATTTGTATTAAAAAATCTATGTATAACTGATTTTATAAGCAGTTCCTTTACTGAATTCTCAGTACAAAAAACAAGCAGGCAGATGAACTGAACTGATTTCAGGAACAGATCCCCTCCATGCAAAAAAAAAAAACCATGGAAATTCAGTATACAATAAATGTGGCATTTCAAATATGTAGAAAAGAAATGCATCATTCAATAACGGGAATGAGGACAAAGGGTAAGCCATCTGGAAAAAAGTAAAGCTGATCTCTACATTTATTGCTTATACCGAATATATTCAATATAAATCAAGATTTTAAACAATTTAAACCATAAAAAGTAATAGAAAACCCATATAACTTTTCAAGTTCACTGAATATAAAACTACCAAGCTAAAACTACCAATCATAAGAAACACAACTAATTTTGTCACTTAGAAAAAAACAATGCCAAACCATGACAAACCAACAATTCATGTCATTCAGAGATGTTATAATGTGGAGGGGAAAACGAGTCCTACAATCAGTGGGGGAGACCTTTTATTTTAAACCTTACACAGGAAACCCCACCCCCACCCCAGCCCTGAAGAAAAAGATCTCTAAATTCAATCATACAAAATTAAAACGTCAACAAGGCAAAAGTAAAATCAAAAGATAAGCAAAAACTGAGTAAAAACCATCTGCCTAACGCATGACCAAACAGATCACTGAAAATATATATATGGCCAATAATAATGGGGGAAAAAATGCTCAAACTCACAATGAAATTTTGAAAAGCAATACTAAACAACAAAAAACTGACAAATACTACAAGCTGACAGTAGCTAATATTATCAAAGAGATAAAGAGATTCCCATTTTCCCAGACTACTGATGTTGGGGCAATCTTTTTAGTTGGGCAATTCAACCACCAAATTACTAAATGTACACACTTTTTGACCCAACAATTTTTCCTTTAGGAATTTATACTACAAATATATTTTTAAATATGTGCAAAGATGTATCCAAGAATATTCACTATATTCCCATTTATTACTGCAAAAAAACAACCTAAATATCCATAAATAGGAAGCTAGTTAAAATAATTATGGTACATCCAAATATAGGAATACTACACAGAATGAAATAAGAGGAATGATATGCAAAGATACAGAAGCTAACAACAAAAAAGACATGCTGATAATAAACAACATGTATGGTGTGATCTCATTTTTATAAAAGTTATGTAAATATAGGTATACATATAAATTTCTGCATATATATGGAAAATGTCTATAATGATACACACACACACACAAATGTTAACAGTAAATGGGAATAAGAAAAGACTTTTTTAAATTTTTTACATTATAACATTCTCTACTGCATAAGTGTATATTCCTCTTATAATAAACCTGGGTAAGAAGTGAGAAGTGTTAAACGAAATCTTAAAATATGGCCACTAAAACTGCTAATATTTTCACACCTTCGCTTGAAAAGAATTCTCAAAACAAATAAAATTTATGAGAATCTTTGAATTTTTATGATCATTAATAATGACATGAGAATATGTGCCATTGACAAACATGTAAATACCCTGAAAACTGTGAAATACTTAATTTTCTTTCACTTTGTTTGAAAGATAAAAGCAAGGTCTAATATATGTACCAACATAGCCCAACAAGACAGGAGAGGATCATGGTTCCTCCTAAAATAAGGGAACCTGAGCCTAAAAAAGAGAAATGCAAGTAATCTTGTTAAGTGAGAAAAGATAATGGCCCTCATACAGAACTAATAACATTAATTCTTTCCAATGTATAGATGTTCATATCTGTATATAGTGATATCATGCTATGTATATGTAATATTCACGCTATATATAAGGAAGTATAAAAGAAAAAGGGAATGTCCAGTAAATGCAGAGTACTACCCAACAGCTATGATATGTGTGTTCATGTTCAAGTATATGGGCATCTATCACAGGAAAAAATTAGAGGTTGAGTAAAACAGGGTTGGATTACCTCTACAAAATAGGTCAGGCAAATGCCCATCCCGCCAGATCACTTGGCTGAATTTCCAAGCTGTTGATTCCTCCCTCTATCCTATAAAAGTACAAAAATACAGGTTATGTCCCCCCAAAAATCAGGATTAGACATATTCTTAAAGTCAGGTAAAACAGGTATATCAAAATGTGCTAAATCTGACAAAATTCTTTCCATGGTAGATACTATTGGATTAAATAAAATTACTTCACTTAGAACACTTAGTTCAACTGTAATGACCCATCAGTGCTGAATGATATCATGAAGAAAAGAAATGACCCAGACACTAACTGGACTTTTCAAATTTAACTTCTAGCTGAGGATTAGGATTTCTTTAAAATCAGGGTAATAAACTAGAATTATCATAAACAACTTAAAACAGGAAGGAAGGCACAAAATGTATTTCACTAAAATCATATGTTGATGTCCTCAATTACTCAAATAGTACTAGTTCCTGTTAAAATCCCAAAGTAACATTTCCCTGAGCTCAAAGTCTAATTATATTAAGAATATAGCTTTTGAAAATACAAAAATGTTTAAAAGTTTCAAGGCAAAGGTATTTAATAATGTTAAAATGGTCCATAAATATTTTTTTAATGTCTATAATCAATCTTTTAACAGAGACTAATACAGAAAATTAACACTCCATGTTGGTATTGCATTGATATCAGACATATATAATTTTCTTCCTGCAACTGGGATATGTTTTCCTGGTATATGAAATGGAGGTAATGAGGACTGAAAGCTGAAATTTTATTAGAAACAAAGAATAGGCCAAATATAACTTTTATTCAGAAATAAAAAAGCATTTTATATAATAGCCTAAACACATTTTTAGGGCTCAATAAATACCCTGCAAATAAATAAGCTATAAATATAACAGCAGGAAAATTAAAGAAACTCAATCTTCAGAAAATAACCAAGTATATTAATTCTAACCTGTGTTTACACAATTTTATCAAGGGATTACAAACATTACAGCATTTCTGGTAATTCAGCATTTTCTAGTCCTTAGCCAGTCAGTACCTTTGTTGCTAAACTAGTTATGAACAAAAAATCTATTTAAAATAATTTATTTCTACTAAGCTCTTAATTGCCTGCCTCAAAGTTTTGTTTCCAAGCATTCAAAAGAGCATATATGCCATTCCTCTCAATTACTTAAAACTACTTTTAAATATATTTTTTCTACAGTGTTAGTACCAAAAAGATAATAAAAGCCATAAAACTATATTATTGTGGTAGACACAAAAACAGGTAAAGTAAAATAAAACTGTATCTGCACTACACTGCTATCACCATTCTACATTATTTACTGTATTCAACTTTTAGAATTTCTAACACAGTTCACAGGAATAGAGTAAAGTTGAACAGAAATGGTAAAGTCTATATATGGGAAATAAAAATGTCTTTAGACTTAGCAACTTTGGTATTACATTATGAGTCTTTTAAAGTTGACTGGATTTATCTAGTCCACAATCAAAACATTATTACTTACGTCATCACATAATAATGGTAACATATACAGCTGGACAAACGTTTTTGAAATGTTAATATTCTGTTGAAAACATTTTCACAAAAAGCCTACTCACCTTGCATCACTTTTTATTGAAAGCTCTAAATTAAGGCTGTCACACATCAAAGACTATAACTAGGTATGTTAAAAGAGAAGGAAACAAAAATAGTGAAGAAGGAAAAAGCAGCATGCCTCACTCCCACATACACACATCCCCCAAATGTGCAAAATAATATAACCTGAAAGTCCAAATCTATAAACAGAAATTTTGGAATGTCTTTCCCATCACAACCTTTCCTCTACCATGGAAACCCACAATTCCCCCTAACTCACCTGCCACATAGTCTCTGTCTCTGGAAACCTAATTCATTTAGCATCATCTACCAATTTCACTTATCCTTCCAAGTCTCTGTTCCTCCTTCTCCTCTACCACCCCTCTCCACCAAAAATGGGGAAAAGAAAAGAATCTACCAGGCTGGAAACTAAGACCCTGTAAGTACAAAAAGAAAGGTATAAAGTTACTTGGGCAACCACCCAATGATCAGCTAAGATCTTCCTCTTTCCCTGCCCCACTTCCCCTACTTTAGGAGTAACTGAATATTCCTGCTTAGCAATTCCTCTAATTTAAGATTTTGCTGGCTAATTATTCCCTGATTATAATCACTTGTGCAGGGGCTTCCCTGGTGGCACAGTGGTTAAGAATCCGCCTGCCAATGCAGGGGACACAGGTTCGAGCCCTGGTCCGGGAAGATCCCACATGCCGCGGAGAAACTAAGCTCGTGCGCCACAACCACTGAGCCTGCGCTCTAGAGCCTGCGAGCCACAACTACTGAAGCCCATGCGCCTAGAGCCCGTGCTCTGCAACAAGACAAGCAACCACAATGAGAAGCCCACTCACCGCAACAAAGAGTAGCCCCTGCTCACCGCAACTAGAGAAAGCCCACGCACAACAACGAAGACCCAACGTAGCCAAAAATAAATAAATAAAATAAATTTATTTAAAAATAATAATAATAACCACTTGTGCAGGTATAATAATCAAATTAAGACAAAATACATATTAAGGAAAAAAATAAATGAAATATTTTTCAGGGACCGTTAGCTACTACCTGTCCATTATTTAGTTCTGATAGACTGGCAGGATTTCAATGTATTTACCAGCAGGTGGTCTGATCAATTATTCAGGCCAACATTTTTGTCATTAACTGAATCAACATTTTTGATCAACTGATATGTATACGCAACACTACCTAAGATTCCTAAGACATGCATAAATATATCATGGTCTCTGCCCAAAGGAGTTCATAATCTAGCAAGAATGGAAAACACAAGAAATAATGTTAGTTTTGATAATATAATGTGTTAAGCGCTATAACTGAAGTTTAAGCAATTTATCATAGGAAAATCAAAGCAGGGATCAATTAATTCTCCCTCTGTTACCTTTCCAAAAGAAAAGGAAGAAGTGACCTTTTAATGTTGGCTCCACATTTAAGAATAAAATGAATACCACATGCTTTGGACTTTGCTCAGTAGTGTTCCTAGGTCTTTGCAGATATTAACGAACTTAATACAAAAAACAAACTTATGAGGTTGGTGCTAATATTATTCACATTTCACAGAAGAAAAAACTGAAGGGTTAAGTAACTCACCAAAGGTTATAAAATTAGTAAGTGGCAGAACCAAAGTCTTTATAATGGTTTAGCAGGCTCTCCACAATCTACTGTGCTATCACCTCCTCCTCCTCATCACTACCATGGCTTTAAGAATCTGAGAGGAAAAATGCTTCAAGTCCTTTAGCATCTTTTAACTAGATCATATTTGAAAGTAATTACATAAGTTCTACTTTTACATTAGTTTTACTTTTGTGATTTAATAATGCTTTCTGAACGTTTTTTTTAAAAAAAAGACAAAGGTAAAGGAAAAAAGTTTGTTCCAGGCAAGAGATTTCTATGAATATGTTTAGAATTTCTACACAGTAACAAAGTAGACATATGTGTTCTTTTAATTTACACTACCTGCTGTGACAATTAAAGTTGTTAGAACTCACAGTGTACTTTTCATGACCAGATCTATCCTAAGGAGGAATGAAAGCTCCAAAAATTCAAACCACCCACCCCAGAAACTCCCCTAACCAGGTCTTTCTAGAACAATTTTCCATTTCTACCTTCACCAAAAATTAAGCCAAAATCTTAAAAATTTCACAACCAATGTAGTTAACCCACTCGGCTAAGAAAGAAAATCCTACAAAGGGGTAATCAAATAAATTCTTAAAAATGCTGGCCGTGGGCTTCCCTGGTGGCACAGTGGTTGGGAGTCTGCCTGCTGGTGCGGGGGACGTGGGTTCGATCCCTGGTCCGGGGGTATCCCACATGCCGCTGATCGACTGAGCCTGTGCACCACAGCTGCTGAGCCTGCGCTCTGGAGCCGCAAGCCGCGGCTGCTAGGCCCACATGCCACAACTAATGAAGCCCGCACACCTACAGCCCGTGCTCTGTGGCAAGGGAGGACATCGCGATCGGGGGCCTGTGGGCCGCAGCGAAGAGTGGCCCCCGCTCGCCGTAACTAGAGAAAGCCCGCATGCAGCAGCAAAGACCCAACGCAGCCAAAGATAAACAGATAAACTTAAAAAGTTTTTAAAAAACCCTTCACCATTAAAAAAAAAAAAAAAATTGGCCAAAGTGAGTAAAATAAAGGCACCAACTGAAAATGTTCACCTGCCCTTGGCCTTTTCAAATCACCTAACCAGTAAACATGTGTCAAATAAGAAACCAACTCCCCACCCACGTTAGAAAACACAACAGTATAAGCATTTTTAGAAAATCCTTAGACTATAAACCACTAAAGAGACAAACCTAACCTTTAAATCCAAGCCACCTGTTGAGGAAAGACACCTTCCAAAAGCTAACCTTATCACAGAGGGGATGATAAACTATCAAGCAACTATGTAATCCTTCCCCAAATTCACCAATAGAAATTAGTTTTTAAGAATAGTAAATCACTAAACTCAAGGAAAAGCTGCTTTATTTTTACATGAATTTTTACTTGAATACATACCAATTTTGTAACTAATCATAAAATATTTTGCACTATGATGATCGAGATCACTCAGGTCAATTTTCAAATGATCTCCTCAAAAACATTACAAGCATGCTCTGATAAAAGTACTTCACAGTTTACAAAGTGCTTTCAAGTGTCACATTTCACGGGACACGCCCTACACACACAATTACCTAGGCAGGTATTAGTGTTTGCCTCCATTCTATAGATGATGAAACTGAGGTTCCAGAGGTTAAGTACCCATGGTTACACAACACCTGTCATGGCAAAGACTTCAACCAGATCCTCTGCCTCCAAATAAATGTCTACTTTAACATAGCACAACCGGAAAGGTCATTCCCAAGTTAAAATATTGATACATTTAATGTTACTCTTAACAATATTCTAAGAATCAAAAATAAATAAATAAACATCTTTGAAGTAAGGATAAGATCAATGAACATAAACTTTGAAATTAAAATGCTATCTACAGTAATAGTTACCATGTAAA